TATGCAGTGCTCCGTGTCCCTCGTGGGGCGGGGCTTCCTCACCCAACGCGACAACATCCTGTGCACCGACTGCGGCCGCGAGAAGTAACCGCCATCGTAACCGCGGGTCTATGACGTCGCTGGATTTATCTCAAACACAATAACCACATTTCACACACAGATCAGAATCATTGCACATTTCTCAGCTCATAACTGACATCCACACACACTTATCAATATGATGACTACCACTGTATTCAAGTTGTATTGATTCAGACAGTAATGGGGCAAATATATAAATTCTGATTCAAGTCCAATTTTAGAACACAATTAGACAAGCAATAATGTATAATTTCGCCGTCATCGTCCAATAATTATAAATCTTTCACCTGTACGTTTTCTTTCTCTTTCTCACAACACACAATTATACAGGTCACAACACTGAGTATTTTCAAATCTTATGGTTATATCCAGGACTTTAATAAACTGTAAGACTAATTTAGGAAAAGAAAAGAAAAAAGAAAGGAAACAGGATGTATAACTAGATTTGATTACTATAGAATTCATAGTATAGAACATAATGTCGTATCAAAATGCTTTCTTCTGTTTTAGGCTCATTCTGTTCTGCTGTTTTAGGCTCATAAATCATTTCTAGTCACTTTAGAAGCATTACAGCCATAGAAATAGCTGCAGTTTGTATCGAACGGCTAAAGATCGAAGTCCAAAAGCAAATATAATACAAAGAAAGCACATTGTGTTGTTTTAGTTTGACTGTAGTGATGTAGTTCACCTTTCACGCGTGTAAGATTAGAGGCGGATTACGTGATTTATAGGATGGGATGTTTCCTTGACGACGCAAATACAAATCGGAGAATATGAATTATGGGCCGCAGTGGACGCCCGGGTGTGGGGAGTCAAGGTCGGACCGCGGATTCCATTACAGCGCAAGACAAAGATGACGAACGCCCAGAGGGCCATTTTCACAAGCGTTTAAAATCGATGCACACAAACGGCCGAGCGGTAAATGTGTGTGTGGTTACAGCTGTAGACCTTGACGAAGCAGAAAGTACCTACGATCCACGTTTGTGAGCTGTGCACTTTAATTCAATGTTATTTAGTGTTTCATCAGTATTTACTCAAGAGTGAGGTTTGTTAAATCAAGCATGTTTGATTTGGGCACTGCTGTATTATCCAGTTTTTGATGTATATTTCAGTCTTTTTCCAACATAACACAAACTATGCTGCTTGCTTTAATAACATGTAATGTAAATGACGGACCTGAGTTTGTAAGGCTGTTTCCATGCAAAAAGTGGTCAAAAATTGCTCAGATTTGGCAAAATGTATCTTAATTTGAGCACATTTTGAATGCCTTAAAACAAGATTTACCAATGGAACAAGCAAAAAGATCTTGTTTTAAAAATATACAAGAAATTCTCCCTTGGAATGAGAAAGTCTAGAAAGTCTGAGAAAGTCCACTAGTTGACTAGATGGCTTCGTCCCATTGGCAAATCTTGTTTAAAGACAGTCGGAATTAACTCAAATTAGGATAAAAACACTTGAATTAATTATGACCTCATATTTTATCATTTTTTGCAGTGTTGGTGTGGATCTCCTGTGCACCATCTGTAGACTGTGTTTATATAAAGTCTCACATTTCTACATCCAATGTGATCTGATCTTTCTCAAAACCCCACAGATGATTAAACAGTGTCTGCTTAAGTTAAAAACCACCCAGACGTTAATAGATTGTTATTTTTCAATGAGGATAACACGCAAACAAAAATGACAGGACTCTATAACTGAACCTGTTGCTTAAGGAGTGTCCAGTCACAGAGGGGTGGTTTTAGTTTGAGCTGTAGATAGACAATGCTAGCCCTCTAGTTCAATGAAGCCCAAGAGAGAAGTGCTCATGCACAAAGTTTTTCTCTAACTTACTTCGACTCCTAAAGCAACTCAACAGGAGTTGTAAGTAAAACCTCCTCTTCCTCACTCACCGTTTGTGTCACGCTCACCATTTTGGGTTTAAAAATCTGTGGTTTAGCGCTCTCGGTGGTCCTGGTGTTTATGTTTTGATCTTGACTTTGCCTTAAAAATGCCTTCTTCTCCAGCTTGCTGTACTGTAGCAACTATCTTAGCAATACTGTTATATGAAGTTAACGCCATCAGAACAAATGTATGGCTCCAGTTTATCTTCTTCCACAAACTCTACGGTGACGTCCGTTCACTGCTAATATTCAGTCCATGCACGAACAGAGTGACTGTTCCTCTGTTATGGGGGTGAGTGTGAATGTCAGACACTGCTTTGGTAACAGCCCACACACTCTCCATAAACCATCAGAGTAGCAGTATTCATCAGTATGTATTAGCATTCAGCAGTATGTATTAGTATGTATCAGGATATGAACCTTTGAACAGTTTTACTGAGTTCTCATCCATGGATTCAAACATGTAATAAAATCTACAATTTAAAACATTGTTTTATTCAACTAATATTTAAATGCAAAATGATTGATGAGTGATGTGAGACGCTGCCTTCATTAACTGGGAAACTCTAAGGCTGTTGATTTGGTCAAATATAATGTCCTAATAATAATTAGATCTCAAATAAATTGATTTATTATTTTTCAAAAGTGATTATAATATATTTATATGAATATTTTCTGTCTTTAATTCGTGTATTTTCCGCAGTAGGAGTGTGCTAAAAAAACAACAATCACAATTAATCTTGCAATAAATTATATGAATGCATCACTAGTGTGTTGTATTTTTGTTAAAATGGTGCAGAGTGTTTTATAATGGACAAAAGACATTAGTTTACTGAATCATATACATTTATTTTGAAATATCTAACTGTATCAAAAGGAAAGTCTACTGTTGAGATACTGTACGTGTTGTATCGACAGACTCTGAAAGAAACCCAGCCCAAGTCTCCAATACAATTTTAACATTTCTGCCCCAAATGCATTCATTACTATTTATCTGTTAGACAAGTAAATCCACTTTCTATTGTCTTGTGAGACATCGGTAATTAGTTGAGATTTCCCAGGTTTTTTTAATATCATTGGATGTTTCGGCCATCACTCAGCCACAACTGTTTTAGCAATATCTGTAGCTGCAGATCTGACATTTAAATAACTTTTAAATGTATTTACTGAATTCATCAAATCACTCCCTATTCATAAAGAGTGGTTTTTAAATGGCTTAACATGCATCATCAATGAAATGCGTCAAATTGCTTTATTGCCTTATAGTTGACACAAAAGATGCGTATGGATGACAACACCAATTGTGTTTTTGCTTTTCTGTATACCAACAAACTGTATTTTAAGGAAAGTAAATATGCCTTTCAGCGCTTTCTCTGCCTCCCGCATCTATGAGAGGACGTTTGACCCAGAGGATTAATTCAGTATTGAGTTTGTGGAAAGTCATCTTACAGTTCTCACAGGAGCATGTTTGAAATAGCTTGCATTGGAGGTTGTAATTCCTACTGACTCCAATAGAGGGCATATGTTTCCTTTACAATAAACCAACAATATGCATCATTTTAGCTCTCTGGCTCTCTGACCTCACTGGATCTCGCCCCATCACATCCTTACCTCTTTGCGAAGCAGCTACACCCACCAATGTGTCCACAACCTCAAACATTGTCCCCCAAACCCCCGGAGGACGCTGCACCTCCTCACACCCACAGCTCAAAGCTCAGGCCCAAAATAAAAACCCAGGCTCTCCCAGGGGACAGCTTTGTGAGGGACACAAAACCACTGCCCTCTCTTTGGTGGTAAACGTGTTTCTTGGAAGAGTTGAGTCATGTAGAAAAGTGCTGACGGGGACTTCCTGTCAGGATGCTGTCACATGGGGAGACTTTACACTGGTGCGCTCGTAAAAAGGGAATCACAGAAGAAGACGCACAAGGTAAGCTGCAGGGATCACCGACATGTGGATTCATATCATAGTTTTTAAGGGTTGATAAGACGCAGAAAGCAACTAAACTAGAAATTCATTTGCTCAACTTTGTTAAAAAAAAAAAGAAGGCCCATACTGTATTTGTCAGTGATGCAAAGAGAAGTGAGCACATATACTGCTTTTGAGGTACGGGTCAGTTATGCACCAAATTGATCATAATATTCAAGATTCAATAATTTATTTGCCATTTGCAGTAAAACCATATTGGAAAAACTGTGCAAGACTACCCCAGTGTGCACCAGACAGTAACACCGAAGCTTCTGCCAATATTCTATGTTAATATTCACTTCTTTCAGCAAATTTTTGAATAGAAGATTTCCCTTATAATGATATTTTCACCTTTTATTATCATTGAAATGTGTCAAACTGCTTTATTGCCCTAGTTGACACACATGGATGACTACACCAGTTGTACAAAGCTAGTCCCATAAGGCTTGTTTAGTTTGGTTTCTCTAGGATCCCACGAGGCCGGCTGTAGTCTTCCTGGCCTCTTCCATCACTCTTCCATCGCACCCTGCATTGATCGTTCTACAGTCTATGGTTCTATTGCTTACTGCACTTATTTGGCAACGTTAAATACATTAAGGCAATGAAAAATGCAGCGTTCAGGTAGAACTCGTTTAGTCCTCCTTCAGCGTATGCATGCCAGTATATACTGTACCAGAGGAGGTTTATTGTACCGTGTTTTGTTGTTGTCAATAAAAAATGTACTTGACGTGGTATACAAGCACAATAACGCTTTAGGTACCAGATTATTTACAGAAGTTTGATGTGAAACAGACCAAAAGATGTAGCCTAAAGAATTGCTACATAATAAGACACTTTCACAATTATTCCATGATATGCTCACTATAAAATTCAGACTAAGAGGAAGCAAAAAATACATAATACAGTGTGAAGAGCTACTCCATAAAAAACATAACTGGATGATTTAAAACATGTTTAAACATTGATTGACATTGGCAGTCTTTCAGTAATTAATTTTAGTAGTCCTCTGTCCTATGTACTTTGCTGTACATAACAATTAACTTAAATTATGTATTTTTAGGAAACCAATAATGGCGTTCAGTGCTTTTTCCTCCTCCTGCGTCTATGAGAGGACGTTTGACCCAAAGGACAAATTCAGTATTCAGTGTGTGGAAAGCCATCTCCCAAACATCTACGTGGGAACTAAACAAGGAAGCATCCATGACCTTATTCTTCTCCAAACCGGAAGTTCGAGTCCGAGCCGAGCCAAAGAGCGTCTGGCCAGAAAACTCTCCAGCTCCGCGGTCTCTCGGATCCGCCTCGTGCCCGTCTACGACCGCATCTTGGCCCTGAGTAACCGCTCCATCACAGCCCTGGACATGTCCTCCCTGGAGATCAACCAGAGCTTCAAGAAGATCCCCAACGTGTCCCAGTTTGAGGTCCGGCAGCAGCGAGACGGCAGAGTGGAGCTGGTGCTGTGCTGCGGCAACAAGAAGCAGCTCCGAGTGATCGTCGTCCAACTGGATCGATGGACGATTTTGAAGGTTGTGATGGTGTGGATTTTTTTTTGGGAATTGGTTTTATTTTAGTTCAGTGGTTTCATTTTCAGTTTTACTTCCTGTCCTGTTCCCCTGTTTGATTTTCTGCCCCGCCCTCATGTGTATCCGCTGTGTCTCAAGAATTCAAGATTCAAGAGTTTATTTGCCATTTGCATTAAAACCACATTGGAAATACTGTCTAAGACTATACCCCAGTGTCTCTGTCTACATGTACCTGTCTTTGTCTGTGTACTGTATGTTAGTCTGTATTCCTGGTTCCTGTGTTGGATTTTTGAGTTTGGGTTTTCCTTGGACTTTGGTTTATTTACCATTATATCATCCTTTTTTGCATTCTTTCATTTGGGGTCCTTGCTTCATCTCACCTCCCATGACACTAATGCTTGTAATGTCGAAAGGTTTTTCTCTGCGTTTGTTTATACGATTGCAAACGTTGAAATCAGAAATCCACAAATAAACACTGTGATGATTCATTCACATAGAATTTCTGTCTGGTGAACCAGTAGAACCAAACTGTAGAATAATTGTTTTAAAGTAAGTAAAGTCAGAAAGTAGTAAGTAATCTTTTTTATATAGCACATTTTAACAGACCAAGGTCACTTAATGAGCTTTATGATGTTCAGAGGTCAGATATTGTTCCATTCTCTCCACACGGTGATGATAGAAGCCGGACGCTGAACACACTGGAGCATTAAAGCCCCCGACCAACACCATCCATTTACTCACGCGCTACATTCAGACAAATTCTAAAAAAATGTAATGGCAGGGGGGAACCGGAGCACCCGGAGGAAACCTACACAGACATGGTGAGAATGTGCAAACTCCACTTAGAAAGGCCCTGTTCCGACCGGGATTAGAACCCAGGACCTTATACTGTATATATAGCCCAAAATGACAACTGTAGCATACTTAACAAAACTGTTGATTCACCAAAACAGATCAGAGAATCAAACAGTTCAAACACAAGAAATACAATGGTTAAAAAAAAAAACACATCCTTATTTTGGAGTTCAATAATGACAATGCAAAATGTTTGTGTTAGGTGTTTGTGTGAAGCCATTTATTGTGAAATTTTCTATTTTCAAATAGCGTCATTGAGCTGCACTGGGGAGTTCTAAAATGCGAACTTCATGCAAGAATTTATAACGTTTTTTTCTGCTTGTTTGTGTCTTAAGCAAACATGTCAACAGTATTCACCAAATTATTAGAAAATCTTATTGTTAGAAATTGCTAGCATCACACATAAAAACTGAAATTTGTTAAATTCGCAACCAAAAAACCACCTCAATCAGAAAGAAATGAATTGACTTCTCATAATAATTTAGACAAAATGTTTCACGCCCCATTTTACTTAATTAGTAGAAAATTCTCAACAAATTTCTCTTTGGGTATTTGCCAAATAAAATGCACTTTCACACCAAAGTGCATCTGGGACATATTAATGCCAAATGAGCCAAGTGAGACTCTGAGGAGCACAGGGACTGGCCTCCTGCTGGTCCCAGTCAGGACTAAACAGCCTTTCAGATTTATGCAGCTAAAATCAGCTAAAACAGTCTTCCTGAAAATGTGAGACTGGCTTCTTCTCTGACATGTTGAAATCCAGGTTAAAAAAGTTCTGTTTAGCCGTGCAGCTGATTGTATCTTCACTCTGTACTGTGATTTTTTATTCTAATTCCTTGTTTTGTTTGAGCACATTGAGTTGCCTTGTGTATGAACTGTGCTATACAAATAAACCTGCCTTGCCTTGAACCTATTGTATACGGGATGGTGCTGCTTGGGCTAATTACCGATGTCTTGTTTGTTGTTGGGTTTGTGTTTGTGAAGGAGTTTTCCCTGGTGGGAGAGCCCCTGGAGCTGGCTGTGCAGGGGGCCTGTGTGTGTGTGGGCACCAGCGAGCAGTACCTCCTGTGTGATGTGGACACCGGCCAGAGGGAGGCGCTCTTCTACCACGGACACAACAGTCAGCAGCTCCTGGTCAGATCCTCGGGGCCAGGGGAGTTCCTGCTCAACGGTCCTGGAGGTCTAGGTAAGAGCAAGACATGAGGCGACCGGAGGCGACCGGAGGCGACCGGAGGCAACCGGAGGAGACCAGAGGGCCGGACTTCCACCATAATGCAGCAAATGATGTCACCGTCTGTCAATAAGTCACAATTTATCCATTCCAAAAATAATTTACCGCAGTTTTTAATTAGATAGACCAACCATGTGACAGAGATTTTCTTAGACAGCTGAAAAAAACTACTAACGGTACAAGGAATGTGTAAAAAAAAAAAAATCTGACTCTGAAGAAGTATTTTGGTCCGTCAATACATTGGGCTGATGTGGGCATTTTAGAGCTAATTGTCTCATTTATCTTGAACTTAAAACTACTAATTAGTATTAATTCATCAAAATGATATGTAAATCAGTCTACAATACTCAGCCATCTTTACATTTGGTCCAGCCGTTTCAATCCAAACAAAAGATCCAACGAGAATATTCAAACTCAAATTAAAAAAAAAGTAATTGTTGGTTCAAAATACCTCAGTAATCTAAAATTGTCCATCCATCCATTATATAAACCTTTGAATTGTAAAGTTGAAAGACAGGGATAAAGGAAGTTAGAGCAAAGTTTGCAAGTGATGGGAAAAAATTGCTGCAAAAAGGTGACAAAAATACTGGAATATTGAAATAATAATAATTGAATATTGAAATACACTCACTGGCCACTTTATTAGGTACACCTTGCTAGTACCGGGTTGGACCCCCTTTTGCCTTCAAAACTTCGTAATCCTTCGTGGCATAGATTCAACAAGATTCTGGACACATTCCTCAGAAAGTTTGGTCCATATTTGACATGTAGTTTCTTCAGATTTGTCGGCTGGACATCCATGATGCTCCTGTTCCACCACATCCCAAAGTGTCTCTATTGGATTGAGATCTGTGACTGTGGAGGCCGTTACAGTACAGTGAACTTATTGTCATGTTCAAGAAACCAGTCTGTGAGGATTTGAGCTTTATGACAAGGTGTTTGTGGTCATAAAGGGATGGACATGGTCAGCAACAATACTCAGGTGGGGTGTGGCATGGCAACGATGCTCAATTGGTACTAAGGGTTCAAGAAAATATCCCCCACCCCATGACACCCCCACCACCAGCCAAATTCTGACTCAGCCACTCAGCGGCACGGTGGCTGAGTGGATAGCACTCTCGCCTCTCAACAAGAAGGTCCTGGGTTCGAATCCCGGTTGGACCAGGGCCTTTCTGAGTGGAGTTTGCATGTTCTCCCCGTGTCTGCGTAGGTTTCCTCCGGGTGCTCCGGTTTCCCCTACCACTAAAAATATGTACAATAGGTCTGGCATGTGCCTCCTGTACTGGCACCCCCACTCCCAAAAATCACAATTGTAAACCGCTTTGAGACTCCGATGTGCAGTGAAAAGGCGGTATATAAATAAAGATTACTTACTTACCCTACCATCCGAATGTCGCATCAGAAATCAAGACTCATCAGACCAGGCAACTTTTTCCAATCTTCTATTGTCCAATTTCGGTGAGCCTGTGCGAATTGTAACTTCAGTTTCCTGTTTTTAGCTGACAGGAGTGGCACCCAGTGTAGTCTTCTGCTGCTGTAGCCCATCTGCCTCAAGGTTTGACGTGTTCTGTGTTCAGAGAGGCTCTCTTGCATACCTTTGTTGTAACAAGTGGTTATTTGAGTTACTTTTGCCTTTCTATCAGCTCCAACCAATCTGGCCATTCACCTCTGACCTCTGGCATCAACAAGGCAGTTTCGCCCACCAAATTGCCGCTCATTTGATATTTTCTCTTTTTCAGACCATTCTCTGTAAAGAGATGGTTGAGTGTGAAAATCTCAGTAGATCAGAAGTTTCTGAAATACTCAGAGCAGCCCGTCTGGCACCAACGACCGTGCCACGTTCAAAGTCACTTAAATCACCTTTCTACCCCATTTTGATGCTCGGTTTGAACAGCAACAGAACGTCTTGCCCATGTCTGCACCCTAAATGTATTGAGTTGCTTCCATGTTGGCACGGTGGCTGAGTGGATAGCACTCTCGCCTCTCAGCAAGAAGGTCCTGGGTTCGAATCCCGGTTGGACCAGGGCCTTTCTGAGTGGAGTTTGCATGTTCTCCCTGTGTGAGTGAGTAGGTTTCCTCCGGGTGCTCCGGTTTCCCCTACCTCTAAACATATGTACAATAGGTCTGGCATGTGCCTCCTGTACTGGCACCCCCACTCCCAAAAATAACAATTGTAAACCGCTTTGAGACTCCGATGTGCAGTGAAAAGGCGGTATATAAATAAAGATTACTAAAGATTACTATTACTACTACATGTTGAATAGGAATTTGCATTAAAGTGGAGTTGGATAGTTGTACCTAATAATGTGGCCGGTGAGAGTATTTATTACCTTTTATCTTGTGTTGCCAAAACGACTCCTGATTACTTGCAAGGGCACATCCACTCATTAGAACATGGTTGGAATATTGAATCCTAACCCCAGACACTAAAAAGCCTGAATTCTTCCTCAAGGCCATAGTATTCATCAACCAACACCAGCCATTTTTCCAAGCATCTATCGGACACACTCCCTTCTTTTCATTTAATTTTTTCCACCGAGCAAACGTCTCCTGGATATGGTTAATGACTTCTCCGATGTACCTATGTATCTTTCGGAGAGTGCTTTTCACAAGGGCATCCTTCTCAGCAAGTTCAGCAATGAGGGAAAAAAGTAATTCTTTCTATCGATGCCTCTGAGCCAGTCGAGTTGGGAGACTGCCAGAGCGAGGGCAAAGCAAAGGGCGAAACAGATGGGGACCTCTCTCTCTTTCCCCATAGTTAATTTACTGAAGAAATGGCAACTTCTCTCAATCGGAACAAAACGATTATTTGAATGTTACAGAAGCCAAAGTGAACTGGCACCAGAGTTCGTGAGACCATTTTCATTGTTTTAAAGTAGTCTGGCCAAATCTCTGCTGCTCCAGAGGGACAAAGACCTGGCAAACAAGGAAATTACTAATAGGAGTACAAGTTTCAGATCCTTAAGTGAACCATTTTAGTTTGTGATTGTGGTATAATGGCTTTCAGATATGATGCCTGTTAAATAGCTTCATCCGGGGCAACAGTCTAAGCAGAGACTTTTGAGATCCTCTTACGTCTTATTATCTTTCTACAGGAGATCCAAACGGTCAAGTTAGGTTTTTTTATTTATTTGAATATCGGACAGTACATCAATGTGTCTGCAAAAAGCGTCAACCAAAATATGCTGCAATTAGCACAAAAACTAAATTGCACCCATTGTCCTAGGGCAGGTAGAAACATACAAACACACAGTAAGGCAAGGAGGGTCAGGGAAAGCTGAAATTGTAGCTTTCCCTGTGAAAAGGCAAAGATGACCTAAACACACAGCTTCCACGAAATAAACAAAGGAAATATTTGTCTTTGTGTTTTCCTCTCCTTCTCTTCTTCCCATTAAAGTTCCTAAAGACATAATAATCATAATGTAAAAATGACCCAGTGCACCAGCTTTTAAAAGGATTAGATGAAGCCAACATAACGGGGGCAGGTTGATCATATTGCGGACGTACTACTTCATTTTGTTTTTTCCCTTCACCCTCATATTACTTTCCCTGAAAAGGTGAATCCGTTTTCCATGAACACATGCTCTGACTCTAAACCTAACCCACATAACCACACACAATAGTTTTCTATGAATCTTAGGAATCTTCGTATAAATTCTTGGCTAAAACTTTCCAGCTACCGTGCCTTGCGAAAGTATTCGGCCCCCTTGAACCTTTCAACAATTTGCCACATTTCAGGCTATTTTTTATTTTATTTATTTATTAAAGGGCCAGTGCATATTAACATACATTATGCATGTAAATAAGCCAGAATTAGCCAAAAGGCTATTTTTCATCTGTAGTCCCTGGACAGTTGTTAAGTGTCCTCCTGAAGGGAATAAAATTAAACATATCACAAACAGATAAAACATGACACAGTAAAATATATACAAGCAATACCCTCAATAACACAAATCAAACATATAGACATGAACACACAACTGTTACACACTCAACAAAAAATGAAGACAAGTCAGACTCACAGACAAAGAACAAGAGGCCAACAGGGGGCAGAGGTGAGGAGTCAGTGCTGACAGCTTTGATTATGAATGAGCCATTTTTTTACCTGTATTTTGAATGTTTCATATGTATTGGTGTTCCTAATTGTTGTGGGGGTGAGATTCCATTCATGGGCGGCTTTGACAGAATATGTTGATTGACCAAAGAGGCTTTTTCTCAGAGGGATGATGCAGTCGCCCCTTGCTGCTGCTCTGGTTCTCCTGAGTTCTGCTGTATTGATGTGAATGAACTGTGTGAGTGGGGGTGCTGACAAACCATGAATTATTTTATAGGTGAGGCAGAGATGTGAGTATTTGACCATGTTTTCCCAACTGAGTAAATAATGCTTTTGTAATATTGGACAGTGATGATGTGAGAGTGGTTTGCGGTCCAGAGTTTTTATGGTGCGTTTGTAGAGGGACAAGATGGGTTTGAGAGTTGTGACATTGGCATGTGACCAGACAGTTAAACAGTATGTTTAACTGTCATGTGTCATGTGAAATGATCATTGCGTGCATGTACATTTTTGCTGCTTATATTGACATTTGGGGCCGGATGTGTCTGAAGTTACTGAGGGTGAACTTAATGCGATTACTGACCATTTGAACATGAGGTTTGAATGAGAGAGTTGAGTCCAGGATTATGCCAAGATATTTGTACTGGGATACGGTCTGCAGCCTTATACCTGAAACATGAACATCAGGCACATCTGTAATAGGTTTTTTTGAGAAAAGCATTGATACAGTTTTTGAGGTGTTTAACTGTAGGCAGCAGTGCTCCAGCCATACTGTGATGTGAACCATGGCCTGGTCATGGTCAAACATAAAGATATAAAATTTAAATTTTTTGTCATGAATCGACAACAAGTGGGACACAATCGTGAAGTGGAACTACATTTATTGGATAATTAAAACTTTTTTAACAAATAAAAAACAGAAAAGTGGGACGTGCGATATTATTCGGCCCCTTTACTTTCAGTGCAGCAAACTCAGTCCAGAAGTTCAGTGAGGATCTTTGATTGATCCAATGTTGTCCTAAATGACTGATGATGATAAATAGAATGCACCTGTGTGTAATCAAGTCTCCGTATAAATGCACCTGCTCTTTGATAGTCTCAGGGTTCTGTTTAAAGCGCAGAGAGAACCATGAAGACAAAGGAACACACCAGGCAAGTCCGAGATACTGTTGTGGAGAAGTTTAAAGCCGGATTTGGATACAAAAAGATTTCCCAAGCTTTAAACATCTCAAGGAGCACTGTGCAAGCAATTATATTGAAATGGAAGGAGTATCAGACAACCCACCTCTGCACCTTCTCCACCGACTCCCACTGATGACTGCTGTCGTTGTGCCCTTGGGCAAGACACTTAACCCCACTTTGCCCAAAGCCCCCACTGAAAGATCAAGGCTATGCTCACACTCAGAGAGCAGCCGTCCTCCTGTGGACTCACCACCTGCAGAGGATCAGTGAGGGGCTGGTGCTATGAGACTTGGGTGGCATCTCTGATTGCCACCCCCCTGACCCAGAGATGGATTAAAGGGTAGAAAATGGATGGATGATGGATGGATCAGACAACTGCAAATCTACCAAGACCCGGCCGTCCCTCCAAACTTTCATCTCAAACAAGGAGAAGACTGATCAGAGATGCAGCCAAGAGGCCCATGATCATTCTGGATGAACTGCAGATAACTACAGCTGAGGTGGGAGAGTCTGTCCATAGGACAACAATCAGTCGTGCACTGCACAAATCTGGCCTTTATGGAAGAGTGGCAAGAAGAAAGCCATTTCTCAAAGATATCCATAAAAAGTCTTGTTTAAAGTTTGCCACAAGCCACGTGGGAGACACACCAAACATGTGGAAGAAGGTGCTCTGGTCAGATGAAACCGAAATCGAACTTTTTGGCCACAATGCAAAACGATATGTTTGGCGTAAAAGCAACACAGCTCATCAGCCTGAACACACCATCCCCACTGTCAAACATGGTGGTGGCAGCATCATGGTTTGGGCCTGCTTTTCTTCAGCAGGGACAGGGAAGATGGCTAAAATTGATGGGAAGATGGATGGAGCCAAATACAGGACCATTCTGGAAGAAAACCTGTTGGAGTCTGCAAAAGACCTGAGACTGGGACGGAGATTTATCTTCCAACAGGTCAATGATCCAAAACATAAAGCCAAATCTACAATGGAATGGTTCACAAATAGACGTATCCAGGTGTTAGAATGGCCAAGTCAAAGTCCAGACCTGAATCCAATCGAGAATCTGTGGAAAGAGCTGAAGAAGTCTCTCGATGTGCAAAACTGATAGAGACAAACCCCAAGCGACTTGCAAAAGGTGGCGCTACAAAGTATTAGCGCAAGGGGGCCAAATAATATTGCACGCCCCACTTTTCAGTTTTTTATTTGTTAAAAATGTTTAAATGATCCAATAAATGTTGTTCCACTTCACGATTGTGTCCCACTTGTTGTTGATTCTTGACAAAAAATATTTTTTTTTATATCTTTATGTTTGAAGCCTGAAATGTGGCGAAATGTTGAAAGGTTCAAGGGGGCCGAATATGTATATTGGGAAAAGGACAATAGTTGTGTAAATGGCCTGCTTGTGGTCAAAAGTGAACTGGGTTGTTGAAAAGTGATCTCTCTCCTGGTGGGTGAAGCGGGAGCAGCCTGTGTCTGGCTCCCTGGCATCAGAACCATGATATTTTTACACATTGTGGATGGAGCCAAAGCCTGGATGTTCTCTGATCTCATCTCCTTGGGGGTGTGTGCTTTGTCTGTCCTCCAGGGCTGTTTGTGAACGTGTGGGGTGTGTGCCAGCGTGCCCCTCTGCAGTGGCCCGCGGGGGTCTTGGCAGCCTGTGTGTGCCCCCCCTACGCCCTGTGCCTGCAGGGCCACGAGCTGCTGCTCTACAGCCTGTTGGACCAGCAGTGCAAGCAGAGGCTGAGCGTGACGGGGGCTTTAGGGCTGACTCCTACTCCAGGTACGACACAGGGACGCAACATGACTCAGACAGTGAGGTCAGAGCGGGTTCAGCAGACAGAGGACATCAGACTTTGAGTGGCAGGAATGCATTGATCGTGAGTAATGCTGTTTTCTCCTGTAAGAGCTTAAAATGTATCCAAGTCTTTCCTGTCTTTTGAGCCGATGCAGGAGGTTCTGAGGGCAGTGGTGATGATCCGGGACATTTAAGGACATTTATTAACATGGATGGACATTGGTCATGTGCCCCTTATGGACCAATGGCTCTCTGTGTTTTTATCTTTGCATTGTTTGAATCTCTGATCTGCTTTAGCGAATCAACGGTAATTTAGGGCTATTGATAGGATTAAGGATTAAGATAAGCATTTCTGCAGATTATTTTTTGAATCATAGAAAGTCACTGCCTCCAAACAGTCACCAACTTATGTTGTCAAACTTTATCCCAGCGAATACAGACACGTTATTTAAGAGCTCCAAATTGGAAAAAAAACAGTATTATTACAATCCACACCTATTATTTATGACTGCAGTGAAGATACTAGCCCAAAACAGAGATCACACTGTCTTCCAGCCAACTTCAGCCCTGCTAATACACATATTCCAAATGTCAGTTTAATTCTTAGAACCAATGGAAATCAGTATCTAGTGAGAAAATAACCAGTGATCATTCAGGCAACTTCAGCTCCACCAACTGTAAACCAATTGTTCATGTCATACATACCTCATTCTAAAGCTTTTAACAACCTCAAGTTGGTAAATCAATTTGCCAAAATAAAATGAAAAATATACATACAGTACAGTAACAGGCAGAGCAGAGTCCCAAAAGATTGGTATTGACATCAGCTCCAAAATATCCAACCTAGACGGTCCCTACATCCCTATACACACCGATATCAGAAAGTTCTGATGCAAACACATCCCCTCCGCTCCTTCTGTCTCAATGCCCCCATCTGAAATATAGTACAAATCCTTCTACTACACCACAAACTTGCCAGTGTGTGTGTGTCTTTAAAAAAAAAATATAATACAACAATAATAACTCAAAAAAAAAGGTGTGGACTCCTGCCCCATGGCTGTGCCAGAGGACATGCCTGACCTCACCCTTCCTTTGCCTTCAGACGGGGCCCTGGTGTTCACAGACAGGGCGGTCCTCTCTCTGCGCCCTGTCCCACTGGAACATCAGCTCCAGGTGCTGCTGCAGCAGGATCAGCTGCACGAGGCCCTGCTGCTGTTGGAGTCTGAGCACGGGGCCCGACTGGATCCTCACGGGGTTCGTCTCTCCAAATACCATCATTTCTGGACTATTAGGCGCACCTGTATATAAGCCGCACCAGCAGCATTTGAAAAAAAAAGAAAGTGTTTGTTCACATATAGACCGCACTTGAATATAAGCCGCAGGCTTTCATGTTTAATGTAGCAGATAAATGACTGGTTAATGACTGGCTAAGCTCCCGCTAAAAGACCAAGGCTCTGCTGTCCCTGACAGAGCAGCCGTCCTCCTGTCAATCACCTCCTGTAGGAGGATCAGTGAGGGGCCCCTGCTCTGTGAGTTGGGTGCAGCTCTGACTGCCCCCAAAAGGATTCCAAACACTAGAGAAAAGTAGCGGCTTATAGTCCGGAAATTACAGTAGCTCAACTAATAATAAGACAGAGATGAGACGAGTAGCAGGAGTAAAAAGAACAGCTCGTTATTATCCCTCACCAGAGCACGAGCAAACTCACAGAAACACACCCTGGTCTTCTTCAGTGGCTAATGGAATCAAAGACGGCATCAGCGCAGCACCTGCCAAATCCTCTTGTACTGGAGGGAACTGCTTTTGGAAGATAACATTCACAACAGCACAAACCGGGCCACAGTTACCTGCAAATAAGTGAGCAGGACTGAAAGAGGGCTGTGAGGGAATGAGGCAAAGTGAGTGCTTTAACATATCTTGAAGAATTTACTAACAGTGAACGTTATGATAATAGTATGGAGCCATCATTATTGGGGCATGAGCTCTTTAGACTTGAGGAAACTTTTGAATGTTTGACAGCATGGCATATGAGGTACAGTACAGACCAAACGTTTGGACACAGTTTCTCATTCAATGTGTTTCTTTTCTGTTCATGACTATTGACTGTAGATTCACACCCAGGCTCTGTAAGGGCTATTTGACCAATAAGGAGAGTGGTGGGTGCTGGGCCAGATGACCTGGCCTCCACAGTCACTGGACCTGAACCCAATCCAGATGGTTTTGGGGTGAGCTGGACCAGAGAGTGAAGGCGAAAGGGCCAACAAGTGCTAAGCATCTCTGGGAACTCCTTCACGACTTGAAGCTCATTAAGAGAATGCCAAGAGTGTGTGAAGCAGTAATCAGAGCAAAAGGTTCCACTTTGAAGAACCGAGAATATAAGACATATTTTCAGCTGTTTCACACTTTTTTTTTTTAAAGGTACGTACATCATTCCACATGGGTTAATTCATAGTTTTGTGTGAATCTACAATTTTCATAATCATGAAAATAAAAAAATGAATCACTCAGGGTTAACCTGCCTTGCAACCTAGTCTTTTTGCCGAGGTTTGTTCAGTGTGACCAAAGAGAGTGGTCCCTTCACAATATTAACCAGGCCCCGCTCTGCTTAGCTTCAAAGGTCTGACAGGATCTGGCTTTCACATGCAAGTAAACTACAAGCATACTATCAAACTTAATAATCCACCAATGTGAGCCGTGAACATGCAGATTATTGCTGACATCAGATGGATCTTCCGAGTGTGTAGTATTTGTGGCTTTGTGTATCAATGTGTGACGTGTGTGTTTGACCGTCTGTGCCTCAGGATCTGCTCAGGAACGTCACGTGTCGGGCTGGATTCCATCACTTTTACCAGGAGAGCTTTGAAGAAGCCACACACCTGTTCACGTAAGACATTTATATCACATAAACACTGGCGCTTCATGACACTTGTTAAACATTTGTTAAACTCAGGCCAGTGGGTCAAATCTGGGCCCGCAAGACCATTTTTAGTGGCCCCTGAAATTATTTTCAATTATCATTATCACAGTAACTTGCATCTAATGGGCTACTGCGGCATGTTACACACTGGCATGTTATACTTCATTTCAAAGCCTATTATTTCAGGAAAACAAACATATACTTTAATATGTTCTAAAATGTTATTAGAAGTTATAGTTATTTAATTTTTGGTTTTATATTGAACTATCACTCTTCCAATACATCTTGTGACATTTGGCCCAGTTCTGGAAAAATAATGTTCCAACTTAAATACAAATAAATTCATCAAAAGACGAAAAAAAAAAAAAAAAGAAAAAAACACTTTTATACTTCTGGCCTCAACCAGCTTAAATTTTGCCCGGCCCAAAATGAGTTTGACAGACTGTTCTAGAGCCCGTCCAGAGCAAAGTTCGTCTCAAGAAAATAGTCAAAGCTTCAGATATCTGACAGAACCGTCTGGATAAATAAGAACTTATAGTATTTCATGTTGTGTAGAAACGGAGATCCCCAGCTTTAACTTGCCATTCAGTGTTGTCTTCTCACTTTTATCCAGAAAAGGTGAGCTAGACCCCCGGGAGCTCCTGTGCCTCTTCCCCGGGCTCCAGTCCACTCTCCCCGCAGACTTCCACCCCCACACGGACCTCCTCCTGCCCCAGAGCCGCGCACAGGAGCTGCGGGGACGCTGGAGCAGGGAGCCCGACACACTGCAGCGCCACCTGGGCTTCGTGAGCAGCTTCCTCGGGGCAGTGAGGACCAGGAGGAGCGCAGAGCAGGAGCAGGGGCAGGAGCAGGTGGACTGCGCCCTCTTGTGGCTGCATGTGCACACTGCAAACACTGAAGCGCTGCTGCAGCTGCTTGCTCGTCCACACGCATGCGCACTGCAGACATGCGAGCCCGTGCTGATACAACACCACAGGTACAGGAGTCAGGGTCGAGGATGTATTATTATTATTAAGAGAATTTCTCATTAGAGTCCTCAGCTGTGGGAGAAAGCACAAGTCATAACATTTACACATTACCCTAACCCAATATTTGTCTAACATCAGATAATAGTTGTGAGGTTAACAATATGACTATAGACTATATTTCAGGTAACAAACTCTAGGATTGAAAATGTTACTCATTATCTTTGCATGAATATCATAAATACAGCGTTATACAGTAACATGGTGTATTAGGTGTGTTCTGCGTGTGTTTCAATTGTTATTGCATAGATATACAGTATGACTGCAAAAAGGAGTAGCTCTCTGTTGTATAAAAGTAGCTCTCTGATTGAAGAAGGTTGGAGACCCCTGTTTTATACAAATATAGACTAAATATATTATACATAATTTTTTTTAAAAAACCCAACAAGGATATTTTTTTGTCAAAACTGTTTGTCCCATGAACAACACTGTAAAGGTAAAATGTTGTCAACAAATCAGATCACAACCTCATCATGTTAGCTTAGGTTTTAGCTGTACGAAGGAGTCGCTGTTTAACGCTTTAGGCTGAGAGCTGAGTGGGGCCCTGTCTCTAACTCATGAGCCTTTGCTACAAATGGCTTAAGTTTCAGAGAAAGACTCAGTTACAAATAATAAAATTAATTCATAATTTTCATGTCAGGTTCTTTGCGTTAGGAATGCTCTTCGAAAGCCAAGGGAAGCATCAAGAGGCCATACAGGTAACAATAACTCAATGAAATTTTATTTTTATTGAATAACTGGGGCTGTAGTTCAGGACCGAGGCTGTAGTCCAGGACTGAGGCTGTTGTCCAGTACTGACGCTGTAGCCTATAGGACTGAGGCTATGGCTAAGTCCAGGACTGAGGCTGTAGATCCAGGACTGAGGGTGTTGTCCAGGACTGAGGCTGTAGTCCAGGACTGAGGGTGTTGTCCAGGACTGAGGGTGTTGTCCAGAACCAAGATTGTAGTCCAGGACAGAGCCTGTAGTCCAGGACCGGAGCTATAGTCCAGGACCGAGGCTTTAAAAGCAATCAGCTTTTAAGCAATACTATAACTAATATCAAAAGTGTTAAAATAGCTATTGTTTTGCATTTTTTATTGAACTTCATTATAAAGATGAAATCCAAACTAACACTGCATCAGGGTCTAAGTCTGTTCTATCCCGCGGCTCATCGTGACTGTGGCTCGTGCTCGTTCAGAGCTGGGTGAAGCTGGCAGAGGGGCAGCACACTGACCCGTCCTGCGCCCTGTCCTGCTCTGAGCTGCTGCAGCACATCGTGTCCAGGCTGGGGCAGCTGGAGGACACTGAGGACCTGTGGACGCTCGCTCCATGGGCTCTGCACCAGGACCAGGAGGTGTGTGTGTTGTACTTCTCAAGTCATGAAAACCTGTGCTTGTATTTCACTTATGCACTGCAAAAAACAATCAAATATGAGGAAAAAATTGGGAAAAAGCCTGTTAGTCTTATTTCAAGAACTGTTGCTATATTTTTCTCATTCCAAGGAAGACATTTCTTGTGTCCTTTTGAAATAAAGATAATTTTGCTTTGCCCATTGGAAAATTCAAAAGTCACAATGTGCCCAAATGAAGATGCATTTCGCCAAATTTGAGCAATATTCTTTTTTTCCATTGCTTTTACATGTAATCAATGACAACAGATTTCATCCATGGGTTTTTATCATTATGGAAACTTTTTTGTATCAAATCTTATGGCTCTTTTTTTATTGTTTAACTTCAAAGGCGTATTCTGTCCATCATTGTGAAATTAAAAAGTCAGATATTATCATTATATGGATATATTGATAGAATTCGACCTTCCACAGTCTGATATTGACCCAGATCATCTCACATTACTCTAATAATCCTATTCTGTTGGGTCAAACAAGATAAATGAGTTAAAACAAAATTAGTGAAAACAAAAGTTAGGTACCCCAGCTTTAAGTGTCGGTGCCTCGGGCTGTGAGCAGTGAGCAAACCGACCAGCAGAGAGAGGAGTTGCCTCGTACAACTACTACATATCCATGATTTACTGTAATCTACCCCAAAACTTTCACTGCTGTGTCCAGAGACGTTGAGGAACTAAGTATTGCTACTGGATTGTACTTTTTACTCTCCTTACTTTAAAACCTAGACATTTGTTCCTTCTTCTGCCTATATTTGTAAAAGATACTTTACAGATGGGAACATGACATGAAAGGATGTGCTTAACCATGCTTCTAAGTTAATTCATTCATTGTGGTTTAGCCATGTTTCTATATTCAGATTTGACCATGCGTAACCGTTGGGGTACTTCACTTTTTTCCAATCATAAATGATGCATGTTGGATATTATAAGATTTAATATTATTACGTGGATAGGGAAGTCTGGGCGTCTCAGTGGAAGAGAATAGATGAATAGATTGATGTCCAAACAGAAGAGTATTGTAAAAGTAAAATGTTGTGAACAAATCAGACCAGAAAGAGCCCTGTGAGGCACTTTCTGAGGCTTTGGGCCGAGAGAGAGCGAGAATAAAGTAGACATAGTCAGTCAGGTAAACTTTTAAAATATTATACCCCAGCTTTAAGTTTGTATTGCCATATTCTCTGCCAGGAAGACAAATGTATTCAACGATATGATACTGTTAATGTTCAAAGATAAGGTTTAAAAGTCTCAAAAACATTGTTTGGCAATTATTCAAGAAAAACAAAAAAAGCTTGTACTTGTAGCTTCCACTTTTACTTGAACGAATGAAAGAATGAGTTCAGTGTTTGATTTTTATACTGGTATCTCTAACCTTGTACCTCAGACGAGTACTTTTGCCACCTCTGCATTACACACAGTGCCTCTTGTACAGACAGGTGTGCAGATCTTTACCAAGAGAGCAGCCCAGACCCCCCTCCCCCCAGAGAGAGTCCTGGCTCTGCTGCAGACCTACCCCCAAGCCCGGATAAACTACCTGGAGTTTCTCACACACAACATGAGCAGTAAGGTGGGCGTTACAGGTACAACTATGGTGTTTTTTATTTGTTTGATAAACCACAACAGCCAGCATAATTCATGATTTTATGAATTAAAATAAAATAGGGTTGGCAATCAGACACTGTGGAAATCCCTTTACTGGAATCATCAGCGACTGAAAGTTCTGAAAGTTTAACTCAAGCTTTGTCAGACAAGATAGAGTGTTTATGAGCAGCACTTTCCAGGTCTTTCTACACATTTTCTATTTAAAAAAAAAAAATATATATATATACTTACTTTAGTGTACTTTATTTGCAGTATTTCAATATCTGACAACTCATGGCGAATGGCAATGACAATTCAAAACGATTTTTTTCCCCCTCTGCTACCAACAAAAATTGAACAGGCATCAATCAGTAAAAAAGGCAAAACAAAATTAGATGGACGAACAAAAATATGCGACAGACCAGACACAGACAGACACTTTCAATTGGATTTTATGATCTTAATCCAATTGTGCCATTCCAATACATGGATCTATATATTTTTTTGGACGCCGAGGGGAATTTTGTAAAAGCAGGTTCACTCTCGAAGCCAGATAAGAGGTTTTTCCAATTTCCTCAAAAAAGAGCCATGATGCTGTAATCCTGCTTGGCCATGGTTCGACGACTTCTTTAAGCATGATTCTGCTTCATCGATGAGATTGGTCCAACTTTCCCTCGAACATAATAATCATAGACCTCCAGAATTTTGAAATCCGTTTATTTTTCATAAATGAAGGGTTCAGGACTTTCTAGTATGTAAATGTTTCAACCCCCACAGAATCTGAATAGTTTTTATTGTCAAAAGGAAGACACAAACTAGGAATGATCTTAAAAAGTAATACTCAATAGACATTTAACAGTGCAGTTACAGTATCAATGAAATAATTCTCTCCTGTTTTCTGCGTTAAAGTGCTTATAAATCAGCCCCATTCAGGTAGCTCCCCAAACAATTTAGGATTTAACACATGACCCGGAATTATCACATTTTGAGTCATTTTATATCTATTTCAAGGATAAATGTAGGGTTTTACTGTATTATGGAATATTGTACAGATGTTTTCACATGTACTTTTATTGTGACTGCAACAAGAAGCAGCTCTCTGCCTCTTCTGTTGTATAAAAGTAGCTCTCTGATTGAATAAGGTTGCAGACCCCTGGCTTAGATAGTCCTCTTGGAAGTCAATCAATCACTCAACTTTTATTCGTAGAGCGCATTTCCTGCACAAGGCAACACAAAGCGCCTACAACCCACATCACATCAGGCATAAATGACAAACATTCAGAAACATTCCAAAAATACGGTCCTAGCGTTTTTAAATGTTACCGGGTTTTTTTGTTTTCATGCCCACCGACCTTTTGAACACCTGCGCACAGATGTCAACAAACATTGGGCCTCATTCACGAACGGTTCTTAGGAACAGATTTGTACGTAAATCCTACTTACGCGGTTTTTACGAAGAAAGTGGCATTCACGAATATTTCTCGTAACCAGAATTTCTCTTGGGCAAGTACAAATCCTACGAGTCCTCAGGAGCACTCGTACGCAGTGTTGCCAACTTAGCGACTTTGTCGCTAGATTTAGCGACTTTTCAGACCCCTATAGCGACTTTTTTTCAAAAAAGCGACTAGCGACAAATCTAGCGACTTTTTCTGGTGTTATTGGCGACTTATCTGGTGTTTTGGCGACTTATCTGGTGTTTTGGAGACTCGTGAAGCACGTATTGTTCTGCTGTCCTCAACGTGAGCCCCTCCCCCGTCCCAAAGCACTTACAGGCGGCCAGTCTCACAGTAGCCTTGCGCAGCAGTCCCAGCTACAGTCTATGGGCGGAGCAGAGAGAGAGAGAGGAGACTCAAAAGCACAGGGAGTTTTCAGGCTGCTGCAGACTGAACTCCAGCTCCACCACCACCACACATCCAAAGCTCCCCGGCCACTCCTACCACCGCCACCCCCCACTACCCCCCACTCCATCCGCGGCAGCTCTGTCCGTGACTCTGTTTTCTCTCAGTAGTGGGTCACATTAAATCATTTGTTATGCCAAACTATGAAAAAAAAAAAAAACTTACAAAAATAAACCTAAGTAACTCTGCCAGAGTGTGTCTTTTGGGTCACTTTGCCGGTCCCAAGCCCGGATAAAGGAGGAGGGTTGGTTGTAGAGCTAGCAATTTCACCCTACATAACAATCTTTTGATTACATTTGCTGTTATAACATTTAACAATACAGGACAAAACTGATGTGTGTAATGTGGATCTAGACAAAGCATTAAAATCATTAAATGTTGTTAATGTTGAAATTATTTTTGTACATTTGTAGTTCTAAACATATTTAGGGTGTTTTTACTCACTTTTGTCTCTCCCACGACCTTATTCCTCTCTCCTACAGCGTCCGTTACAGTTATTTGCAAATTGCGAATTATGCAAATTAGGCGATGACGTCATTTAGCGACTTCTAGCGACTTTTGGGACAGCCAATAGCTACTTTCCTTACTGAGGAGTTGGCAACACTGCTCGTACGCATTCAGTGCCGACATGTTCACACGCCGGGGTTGTCCTCTTTGGTGAAGTTTAATAAAAATACAACATTCCAGTGATATGTCCGTCATATCGATGCATGTATTTATTTATTTGTAGTAATCTTTATTAGTAATCTTTATTTATATACCGCCTTTTTCACTGCAGATCTGGCCTACTTTTTAATTCATTTTGAAATGAAATGTGCCAACGCTTTATCAAATACATTGGAAATATTGCCGTGTATTAGTGACCCCTTCCTATTTATAGGGGGCATTTCTTTATCCACGGGCCACAGAACAACGGCATATATACTGCTGCTGCAGGAGGTTACTGGGTCCGCGCTGAGTCTCTGCGCTGGTCTCTCCTATGGATCTATACGGGTCTGCACTGGTCTCTCCCATATACGGGTCTGCACTGGTCTCTCCCATGGATCTATACGGGTCTGCACTGGTCTCTCCCATGGATCTATACGGGTCTGCACTGGTCTCTCCCATGGATCTATACGGGTCTGCACTGGTCTCTCCCATGGATCTATACGGGTCTGCACTGGTCTCTCCCATGGATCTATACGGGTCTGCACTGGTCTCTCCCATGGATCTATACTGGTCTGCACTGGTCTCTCCATACGGGTCCGTGCTGCTTGCTCCTGGATCCATACGGGTCCGCGCTGGTCTCTCAAGTCTGGTCTATGCGGTCTCTCTTCGGTCCGCGCTGGTCTCTGCGCACCGGTCTCTCCAGTCAGGTCACTACAGTCTGTGCGGTCTCTCCTATAGGTCCGCGCTGGTTTCTGTGTGCTGGTCACTCCAGTCTCTCCTCGGGTCTGCATTGGTCTCAGCGCTGGTCCGCGCTGGATCTCCTCCCAGGGTCCAAAATATTTTGAGATTAATCTCAAAACATTTTGAGATTCATCTTTAAAATAATACATAATATATTTTTAAATTAAGCTCATAACATTTTGAGATTAATCTCATCATATTCTTAGATTAATCTCATAATTTTGCTAGTTCGACTTTATTATCATAATATTTCGACTTTTAAGTCAACATTTTATAACTTTATTCTCAGTCTGGTAAAAGAAGTGCAACTCTTTGCTTTAGGCCTGTTGCTGTTTCCTCTGCCGTCTGCACACGGCCCTGCATCCCCTTATATGGGCATTAGTGGGCGGTTACTTATGCTAAGTACCTATGCTAATGAAGCACCTGGCACGCGCGCTGTACTTACGAGGAAATGGGATTCATCAATCTGAGAGAACAGCTGCGAACAATTCAGCGGCTTACGAGTGCGTTGATGAATCCCACGTGGGGACTTCTTAGAAATCTACTTAAGGACAACTTGAGAAGAAAGTTGAGTAGTTTCTTACGAAGTTATTCGTGAATGAGGCCCAATCTCTTTCGTAATTACATGAAATAAGAAATAAAAAAGCTCTGCCGGCTGCTGAACAGTTGAAATGTGACGGTTTGTGTGACAGGACTCAGGACATCACACAGAGCTGGCCTTGGCTTATGTCTCCCAGTGTCTGCAGAACCAACAGGACCCGGCGAGCAGAGGGAAACTACAACTGCTTCTGTGGGAGTCAGACTGTTACCACGTCTCATCTGTGTATGGTCAGAATGCCACAGAACACAATCCTAACTCTAACTTTGTATGTATTTATTGTAATTATTAATGATGTCTTTTCTTTTAACTTCATCCTGCTGTCTTTGTGCAAATGTGAGCAAGGGGATAATGTAGAATTTCCTTCAGGATGAATTAAACATCTATCTATCTGTCTGTCTGTATCTCTCTCTGTCTGTCTGTCTGTATCTCTCTCTGTCTGTCTGTCTGTCTGTCTGTCTGTCTGTCTGTCTGTCTGTCTGTCTCTCTGTCTGTCTGTCTGTCTGTTTCTCTCTGTCTGTGTCTGTTTGTCTGTCTGTCTGTCTCTTTCTCGGTCTGTCTGTCTGTATCTCTGTCTGTCTGTATCTCTCTCTGTCTGTCTCTCTGTCTGTCTGTCTGTCTGTCTCTCTGTCTGTCTGTCTGTCTCTCTGTCTGTTTCTCTCTGTCTGTCTGTCTGTTTGTCTGTCTGTCTGTTTGTCTGTCTGTCTGTTTCTCTCTGTCTGTCTCTCTGTCTGTCGGTCTCTCTCTCTGTCCGTCTGTCTGCCTCTCTGTCTGTCTGTCTGTCTCTCTGTCTGTCTGTCTGTCTGTCTGTATGTCTGTCTCTCTCTCATGTCTGTCTGTCTGCCTTTCTGTCTGTCTCTCTCTCATGTCTGTCTGTCTCTCTCTCTCTGTCGGTCATTCTGTCTGTCTCTCTCTCTGTCTGTCTCTCTCTCTCTCTGTCGGTCATTCTGTCTGTCTCTCTCTGCCTGTCTCTCTCTGTCTGTCTCTCTCTCTCTGTCTCTCTCTCTGTCTGTCTCTCTCTCTCTGTCTCTGGTATTTTCATTTTTTTTTATTGCATTACAGTTTTTCTCGGTCGCTTTGGTGCATTTTTTACATCCTTTTTCACATTTGCACAACTGTTGGTGCATTTCTCAGAACAATTAGTGCAAACTGCAGAACCTCGTGGATAACCTGCTAAAGTCACTTTCTCAAAATGAAAAGTTTTTTCCTCAAAAGCAAGTCCAAACGTCAATGAAACTGTCTGTGTCATCAAAATAATATGTCCTAACAACATTGAGTATGAACATTACAGTCAAATGACTTAGTCATGTTTTCATTGTGACACTTTACTCTCTCTGTGTTTTCAGTGTAAAAAAGTCAGATCTCGATGACACTTGAGCACGACTATGAGCACACTATACACGACCTATACGGCCATTTACAGTAAAAACTACAGTAAAGTTACACAAAGACTGTATTTAGAAACGTAACTGACATTCTGTAACATATATGTATGTACATGTATGTATGTATGTACTGTATGTATGTATGTACTGTATGTTTGTATGTACTGTATGTATATGTATGTATGTGTACTGCATATGCTCTTTGTATTTTTGTTGCACAATGCTGGAGAATTGCAGGCACATACATGTATATACAGTACATAGAACAAACATACAAGAAATATCATTATGGTAGAACTGTGGCAAATATAAACAATAAAGCACACCTCATGAGTGAGAGAAATTGTTCAATTTAGGAAAGATTTACAGGAAAAAAAAGATGAAGGAATGTATGAAATTAGCTTGACAGTTATGATTTTAAGAACTAGTTCAACAATGTTGTATGTGATGACCAAAGCGATGAAATGAGGACAGTTAGTTTTATAGTGAATGACTATTCAGAAGTGATAAGTTTGTTTCATTTTGACTGACAGGACAGAAGCAAATGATAATGTTAAAAAAAACGCCGAGAATTGTATGAAAGTTATTGGGCCTCATTCACGAATAACTTCGTAAGAAACTACTCAACTTTCTTCTCAAGTTGTCCTTAAGTAGATTTCTAAGAAGTCCCCACGTGGGATTCATCAACGCACTCGTAAGCCGCTGAATTGTTCGCCGCTGTTCTCTTAGATTGATGAATCCCATTTCCTCGTAAGCACAGCGCGCGGCAGGTGCTTCATTAGCATAGGTACTTAGCATAAGTAACCGCCCACTAATGCCCATATAAGGGACTGCAGGGCCGTGTGCAGACGCCAGAGGAAACAGCAACAGGCCTTTACACGAGCAAAAGAGTCACCCTTTTTTCTTCTTTTACCAGACTGAGAATAAAGTTATAAAATGTTGACTTAAAAGTCGAAATATTATGATAATAAAGTCAAACTAGCAAAATTATGAGATTAATCTAAGAATATGATGAGATTAATCTAAAATGTTATGAGCTTAATTTAAAAATATATTATGTATTATTTTAAAGATGAATCTCAAAATGTTTTGAGATTAATCTCAAAATATTTTGGACCCTGGGAGGAGATCCAGCGCGGACCAGCGCTGAGACCAATGCAGACCCGAGGAGAGACTGGAGTGACCAGCACACAGAAACCAGCGCGGACATATAGAGACCGCATAGACTGGAGAGACCGGTGCGCAGAGACCAGTGCGGACCTATAGGAGAGACCGCATAGACTGTAGTGACCTGACTGGAGAGACCGGTGCGCAGAGACCAGCGCGGACCGAAGAGAGACCGCATAGACCAGACTTGAGAGACCAGCGCGGACCCGTATGGATCCAGGAGCATGCAGCACGGACCCGTATGGAGAGACCAGTGCAGACCCGTATAGATCCATGGGAGAGACCAGTGCAGACCCGTATAGATCCATGGGAGAGACCAGTGCAGACCCGTATAGATCCATAGGAGAGACCAGCGCAGAGACTCAGCGCGGACCCAGTAACCTCCTGCAGCAGCAGTATATATGCCGTTGTTCTGTGGCCCGTGGATAAAGAAATGCCCCCTATAAATAGGAAGGGGTCACTAATACACGGCAAGATTTCCAATGTATTTGATAAAGCGTTGGCACATTTCATTTCAAAATGAATTAAAAAGTAGGCCAGATCTGCAGTGAAAAAGGCGGTATATAAATAAAGATTACTAATAAAGATTACTACAAATAAATAAATACATACATCGATATGACGGACATATCACTGGAATGTTGTATTTTTATTCAACTTCACCAAAGAGGACAACCCCGGCGTGTGAACATGTCGGCACTGAATGCGTACGAGTGCTCCTGAGGACTCGTAGGATTTGTACTTGCCCAAGAGATATTCTGGTTACGAGAAATATTCGTGAATGCCACTTTCTTCGTAAAAACCGCGTAAGTAGGATTTACGTACAAATCTGTTCCTAAGAACCGTTCGTGAATGAGGCCCAATGATATTTGTAATGTGTTCATAAGAATGAGAAACTGCCATGATGATGTGCACCAATGACCTAATGTTGTGGAGGTTGAACTAATAGTTTTGAGAACTTTAAGTCTGATGTGAGAAATGCACCAAAGCGACTGAGAAAAACTGTAATAATAATAATAACAAATCTTTGTGTATATAGCACTTTTCAGAAACAGTTGAACAATTGAAACAGCCAATACAACAGTCATGATAATATAAAGTCAAAATAATTAACAGTAGATGCAGGAGATCAAAGCAGACAGAGAGAAGACAAGAGGAAAGACAAAACTAAGACAAAATGGAGCAGCAAGATACAACACGTGAAGTACAAAACTAGCAGTTAAAGGCTTTTCAATAAAAGTGGGTTTTCAGAAATGATTTTGAAGGAGGATGCTGATGGTGCGAGCCTTATCTCCTTGGCCAGGTGGTTCCAGAATCGAGAATCACAGACTGACCACGCTTCGTCCATACCACTTGTCAGTGCATATCAGTTTAGAATTTAACTACTTGAATGAACTACTAAATAACTTGTAATTGGCTTCAACGTCAGCGTTCCTACAGCATGTGCTTGTTTCATGGTCTCAGTTCAATCATTTACTGTACTTGGTCACAGATTATAGACTCTGCTTGTTTGCCTACATTTAGCAACACTGACTGATCTGCGCAGAGCTCGAGATCTGATTGGAGGTGTCTTTGTAGTGGACCAACAGGTGTAAAATCATATCTATGGTAATTTAATTCCGAAAAAATACATAATTTTGACAAGAATCTAAAAAAAAAAAATATATATATATATATATATATATATATATATATATATATATATATATATATATATATATATATATATATATATATATATTTGGGGCCAACTGAAGTAAACGACCTAACTAAACCAAGGAAAAAACTAAAGAAAAATCCACCCACCAAACTAATGCTAAACTGAAGAAGAGTAACAATGTGCAGCAGCGTCTCTTTCCCCCTCCGAATCCTTGGTGCCTGGGTGCAAATTAAGTAAGTAAGTAATCTGTATTTATATAGCGCCTTTCACAGACCAGAGTCACAAAGCATTTTACTATTGTTGTGGCCATTTGTCTCTCACTCCACACAGAGAGCGAGGTTGCCAGTACAGGAGGCACATGCCAGACCTATTGTACATGTTTTTTGTGGTAGGGGAAACCGGAGCACCCAGAAGAAACCTACCTAGACATGGGGAGAAAAAGACAATTATGAGTGAGCTTTTTATAGTAAATAGTGGAGTAACAGAAAATACTAACCCAGTGGAGGGGTGGCAGAAAAATCCACCTCGCTAGTCAAGCACTATAACTTTGGAACCACAATGGACACGAACATTTTGGCACATTGGCTCATCCCTGCTGATCAGAAAAAGAAACAAAATCCAAATGCATAATGCTTATTATTAGCTTGGCTGTTTGTTAGCCTACATGCATTATCCTTGTCTCAAGGGACTCACATACATAATGTGATCATAAGAGAAGATAAGAGAACCGTTAATCGTCTCACAGTGGGGAAATTTCAATGTTGCAGCGCACATACAGGACAGTAGTAAGAGCACACTGGGGGCACACAAAATATACAATATATGGTAAGTAGCTGCTATGTTTCTTAGCTAACTGTAAATGCATCAATATCCATCTATCTATCTAGAGTGTAAAGCTATATACATATAGGGCAGGATAATAAGTTCATAATGTGACATTCGGTGGACATTAAGATAAGATGTGCTTTATTTATCTCACAGAGGAGAAATTTACATGTCACATTTAGCATGGATAGAGACACTCAGATTGTGCAAAAGGAGGACATGTGCAAACATGTTACATGCAGGATATATGTACAATAAAAGTGACAATAATTATGTGCAACAAAAGTGACAAGTGTCAATTGGAAACAGTGTCAATAGTCGTAGTGCAGGTTTTCACACAGTGATCATTTAAAGTGACTTATTGTACAGTCTGACAGTGGTGGGGATAAAGGCCCTGCGGTAGCGCTCCTTCTTACACTGAGGGTGCCTCAGTCTTCCACTGAAGGAGCTCCTCAGCTCCTCTACAGTCCTGTGCAGTGGGAGGTATTGTCCATGATGGAGGTGGCTTTGGCTAGCACCCTCCTGTCCCTCACCTCCTCCACAGAGTCCAGGGACCAGCCCAGAGTGGAGCTGGCCCTCCTGACCAGCTTGTTCAGTCTGTTTCTGTCCCGCTCTGTGCTGCCCGGGGCCCAGCACACGGCAGCGTAGTAAATGGCAGAAGCTACCACAGAGTCATAAAAAGTCCTGAGCAGAGGCCTGCTCACTCCGAAGGACCTCAGCCTCCTCAGAAGGAAGAGGCAACTTTGGCCCTTCTTGAGCAGGGCGTTTGTATTATGGGACCAGTCCAGTTTATTGTTAATGGGAACACCCAGGTACTTGAAGCTGTCCACCAGCTCAATGTCCTCCCCCTGGATGTTCAGCAGCGTGTGGGAAAGTGGTTTTTTCTCCTGAAGTCGATGATCATCTCCTTGGTCTGTTCAAGCACAAGTGGTTGCACTCGCACCAGTCGACAAAGTCCTTGATAACCGACCGATATTCCAGTTCGTTCCCCTCAGACACACAGCCCACGATGGCGGAGTCGTCGGAGAACTTCTGCAGGTGACAGCTGTGTGTGTCGTGTGTGAAGTCTGAGGTGTAGATGGTGAAGAGAAACGGTGAGAGGACAGTGCCCTGAGGGGCCCCAGTGCTGCAGGCTACCACCTCAGACTCACAGCTGCGCAGCCGCACGTACTGTGGTTGGTCTGAGAGGTAGTTGATGGTCCATGCAGTGAGGCTACTGTCCACTCCCGCGTCCTCCATCTTCCCCTGCAGCAGTGCCGGCCTGATGGTATTGAAAGCGCTGGAGAAGTCGAAAACCATGACCCTCACAGCGCTCCCGGCGGGCTCTAGGTGGGAGAGCGTCCGCTGCAGGAAGTAGATGACGGCGTCCTCTACTCCGATGTTGGGTCTGTAGGCGAACTGCAGCGGGTCCAGGGTGGGGCTGACCACGGAGCGGAGGTGGGTGAGGATGAGCCGCTCCATGGTCTTCATCAGGTGGGATGTCAGTGCGACTGGTCTGTAGTGAGCCGGTTCCTTGGCGTGTGCTGTTTTTGGGACCGGGATCACACAGGAGGTCTTCCACAGGACAGGGACCTTCTCCAGGCTGAGGCTCAGGTTGTACATGTAGCTGAGGACCCCAGAGAGCTGGTCTGCACAGGTCCTCAGCAGCCTGGGACTGATCCCGTCCGGTCCTGCGGATTTCTTCAGCTTCAGGCGCTGGAGCTGACTCCTCACCTGGTCCGGTGTGATGGAGAGGGGGGGGGGACCGGGGTGTACTGTCCGAGGTGGAGCCTGGGGATGCGGGGGCAGGAGGGCCCGGGGATGCAGTGTCCACTGGGCTGGGGACGTGTGAAGAGGTGGGGGCGGGAGGGGGGGCAGATGGAGAGGGGGGAGAATCAAACCGGTTGAAGTACTGGTTAAATTCATCCGCCCGGTGCTGGTCTCCATCAGCTGTTCCTCTGGCACTCTGTCCAAAGCCGGAGATGTTCTTTAGGCCTCTCCACACGTCGCGGGCGTTTCCCTGGGCCAGCTTCTGCTCCAGCTTTTTCCCATAGTCCTTCTTGGCCCTCCTGATGCTCCACTGGAGCTCGTGCTGGATCCTCTTCTGCTCCTCCCTGTCCCTTGAGATGAAAGCCCTTTTCTTGAGGTTCAGGAGGGCTTTAAGCTCAGGGGTCACCCATGGGTGGTTGTTAGAAAAACACCGCACCTTCTTAGTTGGTACAGTGTTATCCACACAGAAGAGAATATAGTCTGTAATGCAGTGTGTCAGGCTCTCGATGTCCTCACCATGAGAGCTGCAGATCATTTCCCAATCAGTGTTTTGAAAGCAATCTCTCAGCATCTCATCCACATCATCGCTCCACACTTTTACAATCCTCTTCTGCGCTGGATTTCTTCTCACCACTGGTGTGTATTCCGGAGACAGACGGACCAGGCTGTGATCAGAGCGTCCGAGAGGGGGGAGGGGGGAGGAGGCGTATGCGTCCCGGACATTTACATACAGTAGGTCCAGAGTCTTATTGCCACGAGTTGGGCACGTGACATACTGTTTGAATGTCGGGAGAGTGGCGGAGAGGGAGGCGTGGTTAAAGTCTCCGCTGATCAGAATCAGAGCGCGGGGACTGCGGGTCTGGATCTGGGTCACAGTTCTGTGCATCCCCTCACATGCTGCGGCTGCGTCTGCTGACGGGGGGATGTAGGCACATAGAACCACGGTGTGTGAAAACTCCCGCGGCAGATACCTGGGTCTCATGCTCACAGCGAGCAGCTCCAGGTCCTGGGTGCATGTGCGCTGGACCACATGCACGTGCGTCGGGATGCACCACTGCTCGTTCACGTAGACCGCGACACCCCCGCCTTTGCTCTTCCCACTCCCCTCCGCGCGGCGGTCCGCTCGCACAAGTTTAAATCCCTCCAGCGCGACCACAGAGTCCGGTATATTCCCACACAGCCACGTCTCAGAGAAACACATAAGTCCATTAGTTTTAATTGGACGTTGCTTGACTACAGTATAATCCCTAAACTAACGTTATTGTGTGTCTTCCAGAGCGGGTTGTGCCCACCACTCTGTACATGGAGAGGGCCATTCTCTTGGGGCGCACGGGGGACCACAGAGGGGCCCTGAAGCTGCTGGTGGAGGCCGGTCCTGACACTGCTGCAGCTGAAGAGTACTGCTCAAGACTGTCCGTCCACCAGGGCCTCCAGAGCACACAGAGCCACATGCTAGAGCTGCTACACATCTACAGTGAGTGTCTTTATAGGGAGGCTCCTGTCTCAGTATACATTAAGAAATCCTTTATTTGTCTCACAGTGGGGAAATTTCAGTGTTGTATCACCGGTTACAGAACAGTAGAAATGAGGAGCACACAGCACAAGACGATGACTCTAAACTAAATAGAATAAAATCTCTAACTTTAGCAAAAAAAGAAGCTGGTACAAAATCTCTGACTTCAGCATGAGAAGAAGTGAGTATAAAGTCTCTGTCTTTAGTGAAGCAAGTGTTAAATACTGTATATTCTAGTGCAACAAACTTAGTTCTGTGCATGTTAGCAGCAAGGGTATGGACAAAGAGACGTATTTAAGGCGATAGGAGACACAGTGTTTGTTAGTCATCATTGTTCTTTGTACAGTCTGACAGCAGCAGGAAGGAAACTCCTGTGGAACCCCTCCTTCACACAGCAAGGGTGGATAAGTCTGTCACTGAAACTGCTCTCCAGAGCGGATAGTGTCCTGCAGGGGGTGACAGTCATGGTCCAGCATAGATGTTAGTTTGTCCCGGACCCTCCAGTATACATGCAGACTCAGACCTCTCTTGTCTCAGTATACATGCAGACTCAGACCTCTCTAGTCTCAGTATACATGCAGACTCAGACCGCTCTTGTCTCCCATGTAAACACAGTGAGTGAGGGGTGCTCGCCTGCCGTCCTGGGCCTTTTAAAGAAGTACCCTCATCTCCTTTCGGGGCAGAGGGCTCTCCATGTGCTGCCGGAGTCCTGGTCCGTACAGCTGCTCAGTGACTTCCTAGTTGGATCTACGAGGGAGGCGTTTCACCGCAGCCGCATGAAGACAGTGGAGGAGGCGCTGGAAAGGGCCCGGCTGCACAGGCACAAAGCACAATGGGTAGGCAGAAGTTGGGTTTGAAGACATTGACACACGAGCCTATAGTTATTATGAGCAGTTTCAATGTTTGCATTTTAAAATATTGTCTGAAGCTGTCGAAAACACATCAGCAGCCAAGTCGATGAAGAAACTTGCAAAAGTGTCTAATAGTTTAGAATTGTTTCGAATAGCCTGTCTCATGAATTTAATATTGTGTCTTTATTTGCTGAAAAATTATAATGCACTACACTGAAACATTGTTTGTCTGTTTTCCCTTTTGATTTTAAAGCCACAATTATCAATGGCCACAATAATTATTAATTAATTGCGGCCATTGCAGACAGATGTATTATCATATATTGAAGAAAAGGACCATCAGTGTTATTGTATGTGGACCTCTGCCTTCCAAACCCAAAGTATTCTATTACTGTAGTGTGTTAGACCCCAATGCACAGACAGAGACACCATTAAAAAGTGATTTAATTTACAAAATCAAACAGAAAGGGAAGTGGAGGTAGGAAGCTAGCTGGCAGCCCTGATACAATACAATACAATACAATACAATTTATTCTTGTATAGCCCTAGGTCACAACAGAAGTCATCTCAGAGGACTTAACAAAACCATTGAAATCACCAACACAGGTCAGAGAATCAACAGTTAAAACACATGAAGAATACAGTATAAAGCACACACAGAAGAAAATGTCCATACATGTTGTAGAATGCTAAAGTGTCCTGATCATCACCAATCCTTTCTGTTGGACACTAACTGTCCAACAAGACCCTCCTGCATCGACAAGGAAAAACTCTTAAAAAACCCAGTGGGAAAAAGTGAGAAACCTTGGAGGAGAACTAGGGAAACCCACAGGGAGGGAGACCCATATGAGAAAGGGATCCGCTCCTCCGGACGGACAGACTAATGATCCAGGACCTAAGCTAGCTACAGAACGTGGACCAGTGGACGCTGAACGTGGACAGGTCCGGTGCAGGACTGAAGCACTCCCAGGCGGGTCGGGCGGGGCAGTCCGCAGGTGTAGATGGAAGAGGCCAGGCTCAGAGATCCCGTCATCGTACCATGAAACAGACAATGGGACAACGGGTGAATAGCAATGAACAAACTACAGTCAGAATCCTAAAAATGCTAAACAGATAAAGTAGGAAGGAGGAGAGGATAGTGCTCAAGTTACCATACTTCTCCCAGCAAACTGACTCCCTATGCAGCTTGACTAACACTCTGAGGAGTTTAACCTTCTCCCAGTCTTACCTTCCTAGCCATATGCTAAACTAAAGAGGACTGTTTTAAACCTAGCCTTGAATAAAGAATAACAATAACTGATTCAGAACTAAGCACAGGACTAATTTGGTACGTAAAAAAAAAAGGCAAGTTATGACCCTTGAGTCTCAGTCGTCCACTTACTGTACTTGTGACATGGAATAATCTGGTAGAGAAGTAGAGTCTGAACCAGAGTTTTAAGAATAGGGTTACGAGTGAATATGATGCAGGTGTGAAAGTCTCTCAGCAGCAAGCCAGCCACGCCCGCTGTTACACAAAAGCCACGCCCCTGTTACACATAAGCCACGCCCCCTGTTACACACAAGCCACGCCCCCGTTACACACAAGCCCTGGAAAACAGAAAGGGACAGGAGGGGAACCCAACAGTAAGCCATTAAGATCATAAACATAGATCACAGTGTCAGCAACAGGTGTACCTACACGTGACAATCAAGACCATCATCGAAGACTGCAGCGGGGTCAGCCAGGCCCCTTTCTCATGGTCCTAACCCGGTCCGGACCTCACTGTCTCGGGTCTGGACCGAAACCGCGACCACTGGAACCACGTGGATGACTAACTGGCTCTCTGCAACTGAACCCTCTTCGGTCGCCGGAGCAGGGTACCACCAACTGGGATTTAAGGATTTCACTTATTGACATTGTATCATTCAGCCAGCTTCAGCTCCGTTAAATATGAATCAACATGCCATTTAAATCTGGCCGTCACCATAAACAATAATACAACAAAGCAACAACATAGCAGCCAGATAAACATATGCACTACTACTGTATTCTTATATTATATTTTATACAGTATTTAGGTTTTGTATTATTATATATTATTGAGGACCAGTCATTTCCACTTCTTCAGCTCTCCCTGTCTTTCCCTGTGCACAGATCCAGGCCTCTAGCGCTGTGTTGAGACTGGACGGGAGACAAGCATGTGAAGAGTGTGGTAAACCTGTGACCAGGCCTGGCTTTGTCCTCACGCCCCCTGGTGGTCTGCTGCACCTGGACTGTGCTAACGACTGTGCCACTGCACCCACAAGCCAAGGCCCGGAACTGCAAGCCTAATGAGTAGTGTCTTTTATGTTTTACTATGATCTATTTCATATATTTTTTTTACCTTAATTTTACCAGGAGAGGAGATCCTTATTTACAATGTCTAGTGGAAACAGCTTGTTGTCTGCTCAGAAATATTGTCGTTTTGCCCAGAATGGTCCTCTGTCCTATGCAGCTGAAACCAGTCTTCCTGAAAATGTGAGACAGGCTATTGCTCATTTAAATCCATATTAAAACAGTTCTGCTAGCTGTGCATACAACTGAAGGAATGTGTCTGTGTTCAATTATTTCTAAGTTACTATAAAATGAAAAGCAAAAAATAATAATTTGATTTGGTCAATTTTCAATCCATTTTGTGGATCAATCATCAATTCCATCTGCACCTATGGACTGGTCTCCCACGGCCCAGCAATGAGGAGTTCACAGCCTTTCTGCCTCAGAGCTCGTTCTACAGCCAGAATCTTGGATATACTGTACTGTATAACCTTTTCATCCGTGGGAGCAGACCCCTCTCTCACTGTGGTTCTCACTGAGGTTTCTCACTTTTTCCCACTGGGTTTTTGAGTTTGAGCCGATGCAGGAGGGTCCAAGAAGAGAGTTGATCCTGGACAGTGGTCATTCCGCTCCCTATGGACTAGAGGCTCTTATTATTATTATTATTGCAATTCTGTGTTTGATTCTCTGATCTGTTGTTGACAAATCAACACCTTTAAAAGTCCTTCGAGACGACTGCTGTAGTAATTTAGGGCTGTAAAATAATACATATAAATGAAGGAAGACGTGCTAAATTGTTGATATTTATTTTTGTTAGCAATTTAATCTTGTATTCATTAGATGGAAGAAAACTTAAAATCTTAGAACAAGAAATGTGAGTAAAATTATATATAACCCAATAATTATTTGGCAAGAATGCAATAAAACAACACATTCTAGTGAGGGACTTTTTTCCATCTAGATTATATAAATAAAGCACAGACATAATCTAACTGGAAATACAGTAGTAAATACAGATTACTTTCTGTCTGTGAATGATAATAGTACATTACATTTACAGACTTGCGTTATGTATACTTTATATTTATTCCAGTCATCCCAATCATTCGCCCACATCAAACTATCATTTTGACTAAGCCTCGCCGTGGATCCTCTTTCACAGACACATTTCCACTTTGCCCTAAAACAGCACTGTGCAAATAACTGCTTCCAAAATGATAAAAAGCTTGCATTGCACTTTGTTTGGTGGCTGTCTGGGGCAGTTCCTCAGAGCTGAGCAGAGACTGGAGGAAGAGGAGAGCTTCTGGGGACATATATTCCCTGACCGGGCAATAGTGTTTAACATAGAAACCATATGTGGGCAGAGAGATGACCAGAGGCGGCTCCAGGCGTCCATCTCAGCTCTGTGTGTTTGACTTTGAGGAGTGGAAATAGAAAAGCCCCATAACCAAGTCTGCACGTGAGGGTATTAATACAAGACGTGAGAAAATTTAACGAGTTTAGGTTTAGGAAGGATTTAATACATTTCGTGTTTAAAGTTCAGTTGATATATTTGGTTTATAGACATTTTCTGTATGCAACAAAAAAGCAATGAAGAAATCCACTCTCTCTGTAGTTACAGCTGTTCTGTGAGGGCCTCAGAGCTCTGTTTAGAGTCACAACCCAATAAAGGTTTGAAACTTTATCAGTGCCAAAAAATATAATCCGTAGCTAATAATATAAAAGAAATCCTCAAAGTAAGTTCCATGATATAAAAGGTTAAAACAAAAATATACTGTATAGCAGCCGATGCAAAAGATCAGTTAACCCACTTTACACAAAGATAACATTGGATTTCTCTCTCCTTTTTTCTGTAAATATGTTTGTTTGGGGAGGGGGTCATGGGCCAGCGGGATTGTTTTTAACCAAACTGTAAAGCACTTTGTGTTCATCTTTTGAACTGTATGAAAAGAGCTTTATAAATAGCCCGTGGTGAGTAGCGCCACATTTGCTAAACATTTCCCTTGCTCCGGCTTCAATTTCTTGATAGAACCAGACAGGATTACTTTACTATCGCATTTTTTGGCATTGCCAAACTACGACCTGCCCATTCGACGCAAACTCTTGACATCACCCACAACTAACTACAACACCCACCTCCTTCGCTCGCTAAAAAAACGATTGTAATCGCTAACATGGGGACCAGACCCAGACCTTACATGCAGGGAAATGATTTTTGAGCGGAGTTTACGGATGGCTAAGGCCAGGCTACCATTGTGGGGGACTGGAAGAAAATAATTGCCCACCCCTGCTTTAGAGAATGACTTTATTTCTTGCAGGTAAACATGTACATGTGCACAAAAAGCACATATACGGAAAGTTCCTTAACAAACCCTAATGTTCATCCAAGAGAGGACTTTCCCACACGCAGCACGTCTTGTCAGCCTAATATAACATCTGTGGTGAAGGACTTTTGCCAAATCATCATCAGAATCCGAACACACAAAGTGCTGTCTGGAAACCTTGTAAAGACAGCTCTAGAGGTACTATTACTGAGATGACACATTCAGCCCATGTTTGTCCTGTTATAATTTAGTCATTAAGACTGACCACAAAATGCAGTATTTACATTTCATGCTCCTTTTAGGGATTAGATTTCAGGGTGCAAGCCTTTCACTGTGGCTTTATTTAGATAAGGATTGTTCTGTGTGTTGGTAAAGCATTCAATTAATGAGTTTTGATTCCACTAATGAGCATTATCTGCTTGTTGGAATTATTTCTGTAGCTAAACTTGCATTACTGAATAAATGCATACACTTCCACACTGAAAAAAAAAGATCAAATATAAGATAATAATTCTTTGAATCCAGTGGTTTTTATCCTAATCTGAGTAAATTCTGTTTTTAAAGGTTTTAAAATGAGGATTTTCCCAATTTTTTGGAAAGAACCGCCCTCTCCACTTTTTGAACAAAACTCTCTGTTCTTCTTTGACGAGCACGTTTCACCAGAATGAATAAATCAAAAGTGGCAATTAAATAAAAAGTGGCAATTAAAGAAACAGTATCAATAGAAGTGCAGGTTTTTAGTCCTAGTACAAGTGACTTAGAGTGACTTGTTGTACAGTCTGACAGCGGTGGGGATAAAGGCCCTGCGGTAGCGCTCCTTCTTACACTGAGGGTGTAAGGGGGCAGAGTCCAGGGGGCAGCCCAGAGTGGAGGTGGCCCTCCTGACCAGCTTGTTCAGTCTGCTTCTGTCCCGCTCTGTGCTGCCCGGGGCCCAGCACACGGCAGCGTAGTGTGTTACTTTTTTTTCTCATTCCAAGGGAGACCTTTTTCTTGTCCCATTGAAAAATTCTTGTTTTAAGGCAGTCAAAATGTGCTCAAATTAAGAAACATTTTGCCAAATTTAAGCAATATTTGACTGTAATACAAATAATATTTGTATTTTCCTTTTTTTTTTTTCATAGTTTACATTTTGGTCCAATCTGAAATATGTACTATGAAAAAGCTCTTTTAACTGAAACCTAAATGAACACAAACTGGAAACAGGTAAAACTACTTCTGCTTAACTACTCAACGACTTGGCACACGTTGAACAGGCTTAAAGGGAAAGTCACAACTGGATTATAAAAGGCTTATACAAAGTTAAAAACAGGTCAAACGTGAAAAGGTTCACTATGTGACTCACTTTACAGGTTCGGCCATGCGCTCGTCTCTGATCTGTTACACAAACATTCGACTCCATTAACAAGAACCATGTTTTTAGTTTTGTGGTTGTAAAGGATAATATAACTAGAATATGACCCCTCATATTTCAACAATATAATACATTTTGGCGTTTACGGCAGAATTGTCTGTCAATCTGCCAACAACACAACTGCTGTCCTACAGATAAATCCTCTGAAATTATCTGTAGTTCCATTGTAGCAGACTACTTTTTGAGATTTTTGCAAACTTCTGACTCTTGAGTTCTCCTGTCTGCACCAGGGGCTGGGGGGGAAGTGGTGGATCTCTTAACGCAGATGCTTTGTGTGGCAAGTCGAGGCGGCTACACGCTTCTAAAATATAATGACAATTATAAAGAAAGAAACAGACCAACAACGCCGGGGCAAGGGTGCCCAAAATAAAATCAAAAACACACTACGGTGCACAGGTTCGTTAAATCTTAATTAGAAGCATAGGCAGACATTAAGTTACTTAGACTTATTACGCTACGATGTACAGTTCAATTTTCTTCATTCATTATGTTTTGTTACATTTCACATTTACATTCACACATCTTCCTGTCACAAAGGACTCAGGAAGATTCAGAAACACTCAACGAGGGCGGCCAGACGCAGGGCAACAGGGCCTCACCGCGGCACTGAAGCAACTTTAATATTTGTGGTTGTATATTCTGGATCACAACGTGCACAGTAGAACTACTACCTGATCTGAGAAGGATGGCGCGACGCAACACCGGGGACGGAAGTGCAGAGGTAAACAAAGAGTCGACTCGAGGTCATTTATACTGTCAGTATGCGCCCTCTACTGGACAGACTTATCACGGCCAAGTTCAGCTTACCACATTTGCAATTTCAAAACAAATGAAAGACGAATCTGTGTTGATGATTTCAACGGTTTTGCTGAGTTGTCTGAAATAACAACGTCAGTAGCACAGTTGGTAGAGCGTGGGCCTTTGAGCCTGAAGGTCGTGGGTTTCACCATCGACTCCCACTGATGTCTGCTGTGGTTGTGTCCTTGGCAAGACACTTAACCTCTGGGAACACCAGCCACAGTGGGGCGGCTGCAGCTGTAAGTGCCAAACTGCCACTGTGTCCTTAGGCAAGACACTTCACCCCCACTGCCTACAATGAGTTTGGTGTGTGTGTGTAAATAGTTGGTGGTGGTCGGAGCGGCGGATAGCACATACTGGTTGCCTTGCTTCTGTCAGTGTGCCCCAGGGCAGCTGTGGCTACAGTAGTAGTTTATCACCACTGTGTATGGAATGACAGAATAATGACATGTAAAGCGCCTTTGAGTGTCCAATATAAAACTGAT